CTCCTCGCCTGGCCGGTGCCAACCACTCCGGCTCCCCGAAGCCGGGCACCAAGCGGCTGCCCCAAGCCCTCATCGTGGGCGTGAAGAAGGGAGGCACCCGCGCCGTGCTGGAGTTTATCCGCGTGCACCCGGACGTGCGGGCCTTGGGCACGGAGCCCCACTTCTTCGACAGGAACTACGGCCGCGGGCTGGACTGGTACAGGTAAGCAGGGGAAGCCCGCTCCGTGCGCCGGCTCTCCCCGGGGCTCCATCCCCAGCTGCATCTCCTGCATTTTCTCTGATCCCTGAACTCAGCTCATTGTGTGCCTTCAGGCTGACACGGGGCGGTGGAGGGGAAGGGAGGGGGACTCCAGCCGAAGGATTTACCCAGAACTTCCAGTGATTATCTCTAGATGGGCACGCGGTCTCTTGAACTGCAAAGGGCGTTCCCTGTTGTCACTGGAGTCTCTGTAAGGGAAGGGAGACCTCCAGTTAAACCTAAATGCAGACTGGAGGGCTGGCTCGGTATCCAGCCTTTAGGAAGGAGCAGGGTGCCCAAGGAAGGAACAGGCCAGGACATGCACTGCCTGAACACAGCCCTTTCCTGGCCCTCGGTAGGTCCTTCCTGGTCTCTTGCACCTGAAAGACCCTGGAAAGGGAAAGCTGGGCTGTGCTGGAGAGAGGTCCTCATAGTTCAGGCCGAATGAGATGTCATCCCCCGAAGTCGTGTCATTCCTAGCCCCAGGTATTTGCTGCGACCCCAGTCTCTCTGACCCTGGATCGGTGGTCTTGGAGTAGGGGAAAGAACCCTGAATTCAAGTCTTGGCTCCACGACTAGCTTGTGCAAGCTCCTCAAACTCTCCCAGCCTCTATTACCTCATCCATCACAATGGGCAGGAAAACAGTCCTTGCCCTGAATGCCTCCCAAGGCTTTTCTTTCTTTCTTTTTTGGTGGCTGGCTGGTTTGGGGATCCAAACCCTTGGCCTTGGTGTTATCAACACCACGCTCTAACCAACTGAGCTAACCCACAAGCACTCCAAGGTTTTTCTAAAGTGCTTTAAAGGTGTCAAGAAAGACACTTCACATTGGGTCATGCTTCTAAACCAGTGGCCAAGGTACGGGATTTGGAATGCTGGTGGGCACATCAAGTGAAGGCCGGCCAGTGTCCTGGGGGAAGCCAGTCATATGTGGACTTTCACTCCCCCTCTGCCCTGCTGGGGCTGAGCTACCCAGGCTGGTGGTGTCTGGGGATAGACAGAAGCTTCTGTAAGGTGGAAGCCTGCTCTCTTTGATGCCCGTCTGCCTCCCAAGCCCTGTAAGGTGCTGAAGTGTAGGATCGACCTACGTTGTGGGCCAAGTCAGGGTGTCCCTGGGGTGGCGTAATGTATGGTCTCCCCATAACACACGAGTCACAGAATTCTCCCGATTCACCTGACCCCTTGAAGACTTTCTAGAAGCATCTGCATAGTAATGGAGTTGGGGAGGAGTAACTTGGTAGCTGACACAGTAGCTGAGGCTAATTCTTTTATTTTTATAAAAGTAAACCCTTTAGGCAGTAGAGGTCATAAGCATATTGTTTTAAATAGAGGTCATAAGCATATTGGATTATGGACAAGGGGTGGGGCATGCACTGTCCTCAGGAGGTGAACATGTGGCCTATCTCCAATGGAACCCAGCAGGGGATAGTTGCCCTGTGGGTGGCCCCGGCCCCACTATGTCTGGTTAATGGAGTAGAGTGGCATAGAGTGGCAGGTCTGGCTCTATGCCAGTGCCAGTGGCACACTGTGCTTTCCAAGCTGTGACCCACAGGCGTCCCCTCTAGGTGTACGAGGCCACTGTCTGAGCCAGACCCCAGGGTGGGGGAGGCGTTTGCATTGAACAGCAGAGCCCTGTTAGGTGGTCAGCCATGGCCGTAGTCCAGGGCACGCCAGGGTTTCCTTGATGGAAAATCCAAAGATCATTATGAAACCCTTCACCAGTATGAAGTGCCTTTTAAGTACAAAATAGCAAAATTGTGAGCATCTGTCTTTTAGATAATGCGCCCTCCAAAAAGCACCTGTATTCTGAGCCCAGACTCTTCTCCCTTCTTTCTCCTCCCTCCACCACCAAACAGCACACCTCAAGCTTCCTTCTGAAGCCCGTGTCATTCAGGGATGGCTGCTTTTTATTTTTAACCTTGGCATGTGTGATTCTAAGCCAGCTTAGCTGTGAACCTTAGAGATGGGAGCCGTGCCTTTTTTTTTTTTTTTTTTTTTTTTTTTAGCACATTTGGATTCTGCTAAAATTCTCAGCTGAGTCTTGGTAGGTTTTATTTAACACTGAGAACACTGACAGCTCCACTTCTCTATCCCCCCCCCATATACATACTGCATTTTCCCTCTTTTATATTTCTAAGAGAAGGATTAGCCTTGGTCTGGTCATAACTGGCCCATCTCCATCATTGCCCAGGAAGGCTTGGAAGCCTAGAGTGTCAGGAAGGGGTGGTGTGGATTGTGTTTCTTCCAGTTGAAAGTCCACACCCAGAGTCAAGGGTTTAGGTTGTGGATTGTCATCTGAGCACAAGGTAATACTCCCCATTTAGATGCTGTTTCCATAATCTCCAGGACATTTTTCTGTATGTGCTTTACGCTTTGTTATCACTCAAGTAATATGCATTAATTGCAGAAATGATGGGAATTTCTGGGATTCTTTAAAACCCATGTTCTCACTTTCTTCCTGAAGTCCATGAGTTAGGTACATGGGTGACAGGATGCTCTCTCTGCCCACTGCCCTTATCATTTCACAGCTTGCCCTCATAGAGCCAGTGTTCACTGGCCAAAGAACCCTGGTACCCATTGCAGTGGACTGTGTTTTCCAAAGGTGGAGTTGCAGACTTGCAGGCAGTGGACCTTACTATGATGTGTGCACATTGAAGCCCCTGGTGATAACTCCCTGGGCCAGGAGGCCCAAATCCAGATGGACAACAGAAAGATAAAAAAACTTTACCCTCAACCAAAGGAGAGATTTCTGTGGGTAAATGGAGATAAAACTGAAAGCAGAGTGATCTAGCCAGAAAGACCAGGAGACAGAGCCATCACCTTCCTTGCCTGCAGCCTGAGCCCCTTTTTGGGGACCAGCCCAGTTCAGGCCACCCTCAGAGAGCCCAGCCCTCTGCATTGGGATCCCTCCCACTTGGTATCTTTCTGTGGTCCCACCTCTGATGCTTACTTCACCTACACATCTGGCCCGCCTTTTCCTCTTCAAATTTCTTCCCCAAGGTAGGAGCTGAGCCTGCATGGTAGTATCTGCTAGCTGCTTGGTCAGGCTGAGGAGAGAAACAGAATAGCATTTGCTGTCAGAAGACCAGAGATAGTCACGGAGATGCTGTGCAACTCGGAGAAAGGTGACCTTCCTGAGTCTCAGCTGCTTCATCATAGAATGAGACCTGCAGTAAACTACCCTAGGCATGTGTTTTGAGGAACGAATGAAACAGTGTATATGAAAGTGCCCTGAAAAAGTATGTAAGACAGTAATGTTAATACTGTTACAACTTCGCTACCTACCAACATTAATACTATTAGTGTTAAAACTGTAAGATTTTGTCCTTGCTGCTGTTTCCAAATGGGACTGAGGAATCAATCAGTTGTTAGAAAAATAGTTTCATGCTTTCCTTTTCCTTCTCCCTCCCTCCCTCCCTCCCTCTCTTCCTCTCCCCCACTCACTTCCTCCCTCCATCCCTGCTTTCTAAATAGTTTCATGCTTTCCTTTTCCTTCTCCCTCCCTCCCTCCCTCTCTTCCTCTCCCCCACTCACTTCCTCCCTCCATCCCTGCTTTCCTTTCTTCCTTCCTTTTGCATTGATAAAAAGTCACATCACATTTCTGGGTGTCAGTTTGCTCACCTTAATAATAAGAATGATGCCTGACTTGCTTTACAATCTTGTGAAAATCAGGTAGGACAATTTATGTGAAAATGTTTCTCAAAATCTAAGACTATATTTAGGCTGCTATTGTTTTACCAAAGTTTGGATGTGAGACAGACTTTGTTGTCTTTATATCTTATAAAGAGATATAAGCTGGGCCGTGTCCAGTAGTTTTTAGGGTCGTAGGGGAAGCAGAGTTTTGTTAAAGTGTCCTCAATTTCGCCAGTTTTGGGATGGGGGGTGGGGAGGAAGTGAATCTTTTCTAAATGCATCGAAATGCCAACAAAAGTAAGTTAAACACGATAATTGACTCTGTGCTCCAGTGCCCAAATTTTGATAGATTAAACTATGCTAAAAATTTTAGACTTCACAACTCTGGTTATTTATTTGTTCAGCGTCAGTGGTGTTCTTGGGACTGTGTAAGAGAGAAAAGAAAACCTAGTACTTGCCCCAGATGCTGCTGTCTAAGTAATAAAAAGAATAAAAAGCACAAAATAAGATCTATTACATTATCCAGCTCATTTAAATCAAAAAATCGTATTCTAATAGCAAAGCCAAACTCTGGAAAGGCAAACTTTAGGAAGAAATAAAACCAAAGGCAGAAGGTAAGGGTACTTCTGCATGAAGCATTTAATGCAAAAGGCTTTGCCATCTTTGAACAAACCAATCAACCCATGAAACAGACAGACCTGTGCTCATTGGCTGTGCACAGATGCGTGTGTGTGCACCACACACAGGGGCACATGCACGCACAATTGCAGTGTCTATGCAGACTTGTGCCTTTATAAGGAGTTTTTGTGCCTTGGTCCAGGAGAATGTCATGCACTCTGAACGAAACCACTGGGTCCATAAATCCTCCATCCATCTTGTAGCACTCTGTCAGCCTTGCAGCTCACTGGAGATATAATAGTTCCAGCACAGGTACAGTTCTTGTCAGGCACCGAAGAACGTTCAGAATTGACCAGCAGAACTGTCATCCCTCAAGGAAGCTTTTCGAAGAGCTGATTTCCCTTCCCCCTGGAGCTTAGAGGGACAGTGGGAGAGCTAGGACTGAAGAACGGGCTTGCCACCAAATCTTTGGCATGTGGATATTTTAGATGGAGAAAACTCCTGACATTCACAGTGTTTTTAGATGGCACACATTAAGGCTCTTTTGTATGTTAAAAATGTAAAAATATCACTTATCAGAGAGTCTAAGATGCAAGTTTATTTGTTCACATTTTAACAACTCTGAAATTAGAGTGTATCGTACCATTGATGGTGTCTTGTATTCAATGAGATATAATGCTTCTGTATTGGCTGGAGACTTACTCCCCTAAAGTG